TTACCTCCTCTCACATAATGTGCGGGACTCGCGTGTATTTAAAAATTCCGACAATGTGGTCCATATCCTCATTGTGAGTAGTAAGTAAAAGATTCAGTAAAAAAATTCGGTACATCTAGCATGATCCCAAACTGTTTTTGTTCGGCGTGATTTGTTTGTATGGTCTAATTATTTTTAAAATACATTTTTCTTTCTCTTATTTTTAATCACACGTTTTCAATGAAATTATATTACAGTCAAGTCCAAAGTTTTCCTTATTTTTTAACTACACATTCTTTATATAATCACTATTCCAAAATATATTATTGGCAGAAAAAATGAGGCTCGGACAAACTCTTAATTTTATGAAAAAATAATTGTTGATTACTTTTTAAATCCTAAGAGGGTAGTTAGCGTAGTTAGTAAACAATAATATCATTAGTTGTTGCTATCATCGGGTGTTTTTTTTTGGCTATAATCAACTTTATTTTGAAATTTCATGTTATCAATTATTCGTTCTTGTGTGGGAAAGCTTAAAAAATAGAGGTCGGTAATGACAATTAATTTTCATCGCACATTTCAATAGATCCACAACTTTTATTAAATTTTCAATCGCACATTTCATTAATTTATTTTTTTCCCAAATTTGCTAAATTTTTTTATCAAAAGCTTTGCTAAACAACCCTCCATTGATTTGATATATGAATTTACTGAACGAAACTCAAACTGAGACTAAATAATGTTATCTACCATCAGTTAGACTAGTAATGAATATCATTAATGATAGATAACATTGTTCGTTGTCATTAGAAATATCATTATTTAGGAAATTTAACGCGAGTATGTCAACGAAATTTGAATTGAGATTTTTCGCCCTGTTTTTCGCACCGTAGACGTGGACAACAGATGCTGGACTCACTCGCGTCCTAGTATGCTAATTCTAACACTTGTAGATAGAATATCGATCAATAATATTTCGGATTTAAACGTGAGAGAAGTTTTATAATACAAAACGAATATGTTCAGACACCGACAAAAAAAGTGTATATATATATGAGCGAAGTTACACGACAATGAACGATCGACAAAATATTAGACTAAAAATTAAGATCACGCGTCAAACATTGAAACCTAAATATCAAACAGGAGAGCGAATTGTTTGTAGCTGATATTTTAGCATTTTTTGCATTACCTCCAAAATAATACAAAATGGGAATATTTATTGTGTTACATGTGAAATAGTAACCATTGGGGTGGGGGGACACGTGGTCCATCTCCTTTGCCGAAACATTTCATCATATATATCAATTTTGATTCCACTAGCCCGTGGTGCATTAAATCTCCCGAAAATGAGACACTCATCCTATAACATATGTTGACAAGAGTGACCATTTTACTCATTACGAAAGTCCAATCAATCATTCTAAAAGAATTTTATAAATTCAAAATCTTCAAACGTGAATTGTCACCAACCTTAATTGAATTTCGAATTCTACTTCGTCGAGTCTCGCCACTTCGGCAAAGAGACTTCAGCAGATCCCTACCAAGAAATCATTCTGGTACTTCGGATTTAGTGGACTCTAATAAGTCCTACGTTCTCCACATGAGATGCCACATGACTTTGACGAAAAGGACTTCGGTGGATCGATTGAGCCACGTGATAGTTTAGGCAGCGAAGCATAACAAAGATCTTCAACATTCACCATCTATTAATGTGGCTAATAGAAATAGCAAGTCATGTTATCAAACAAACACTTTAGTTTGAAAACAATTTTTTCCATTTTCTGTGTTGTTAGTGCAGGCCCATTTCTAGGAAATTTTGACGCGAGCATTTAAAAGTATGCTAGATTAATGCTGTTATCAAACAATCACTCTCTCTAACTGTTCGAAAGCAAAATTTTCCATTTTTTCGCTAGTTAGCTTAGGTCCATTATTGCAAAAAATGTACACTTAGGGTGTGTTCGAGTCACATTATTTTGAAAGAATGTATTTTGGAATAGTAGATTGATGGAGAATGTGTGGTTGAAAATGAAGAAAAGTTATTGATGTGATGAAAAATATTATTTTACTGAAAAATGTGTGGTTGAAAATGAGTAAAAGAATGAGAATGAAAATTTTAATATGAGTCAAACAGGAGTTTAAATTTTGTTTGACTCTCATTTTTCTCAAATTTGTTTTTAAAAACGTATTTCGTGGGATTCACGTTTTTTTTAATCAATTTTTAACCATATGTTTCAACAATTATTATCAAAATTTACTGAAATTTAATTTTTAGCTGAATCAACGCGGGACTGAGACTTGGACATTGAAATTTGTAGCTATATTCGAGCGTATGGGAACAAGTTATTGGAATGAAAAAGGCGTTGTAATTCTTTGTTTCAATTACGTGGACAAAATTTGTCACAGTGACACTAGCGTCTACTCGTGCAATATTATAAAGATTAATTACACATCAATTGTCAATACATTTACATACATGAAATAAGAAAGGGCATACCAAAAGATTTAACCTCCACTTTTAGAATAGCTTTCAACTTCTCAATAATTTATAGATTCATCGTGATCAACGTCTAGAGGGAGTATTGATTTATTGGCGATCACAAATAGCAAGTGTTAAGAACTTTAAAAAGGAAGTTTATAACAAAGTGATAAAATATCACTCATTGTCGTTTACTTTCTTTTATCTCCGAGAGTGAGGTCAGTGTGGACTAAAACTCTTTTTGGACAAAAGTTCTCATTATTTTTCATTTTTTGCTTGAAAACCCGTTGTTTTTTTATCTTAATGCACCGTGCATGAAAAATTACACAGCTATTTTTAACTAGTATGACACACAAATCGTATATTCTTAATATTTCTTCCTTGTGCAATTTTATCGTGGACGCTTCGAAGCATTTGACAATTATGAAATGTGATTATCAACATTACTCACTTTTTCTAAATTTTGATAAAAGTATACACATACATACATATGTAGTATGTATACCTTTTATACGAGTGTATGGTGAAACTTAGATGAGCCAATAACCATAAAAAATTTAAGATGAATAGGAAGAACTTGAAAAGCCAATACAATAATACTTTCTTTTGTAGTTTTCTTTTCGTTTTCATTATCTTCCTACCCTTACTAGTTACTCCACACTCTCGTATCATCACCCCAACATCGTTTCCTCGAGTACGACTCCCCTTCCCGGCTTTGCTTATTGCTTCAAGTCGGATTCTATCTCTCCTCTATTTGCCACGTGAATGATAAAAAGATTCGCGCATGAATCTTCGAACTATAATTAACAATATTGGTCGATCCAATAACACTACACATGGATTGAAAGTCGATTCGATCAGTTAAAATTCACAATAAAAGTATCGAGACATATTACAAAGAAAAGTTTTCTAAACCAATTAATCAGGTAATTCTTTTAAAAAAAATCCTCACGGGAATCTCCTAAGACTTGTTTCGGAAAAATTATGGGTCATTATAATTTAAAGTGAATTAAAAACTAATTTTAATTACAAGATCACGGATTACAAATACTCCCATTAATTATCCACATACCTATTTTTCATTTTCCAAACTGTTTTTTTAATACATCAATTAGTAGATAATTATGTAAAAGTAGTATTATCCATAATTTTTATTATATTTTTTTCCCAAATAGGCACTGCTAGATGTCTAGAACCCGATCATCACAGATGAACTCCTTTCAAGAGTCTCCTCCTCTTTTCAAGATTGAAAAATGCTATTTAATATTAATTGAGATTATAATTCCCATCCATTCGGTATTAGGTGATAAGCTAAACGAAAGATGGAATTAAGAGCTTGATTGATTCTCATTAATTGGGAAAAAATGAGTTTTGAATAGTATTTTTAGAAGAATGCGTGATTAAAAGTATGAAATTTTTTTGGGTATACTTATAGTATATTTTATTGTGTGAATATGTGGTTGAAAATGATCACGTAGCAAATTTTAAAACAGGTGTCAAACAAGCACTAAATAATTCATTTAGTTGCACTTATCATTGCTTCACATACATTGAAATTATAATTTCAGTTGGGCTAATAGCGCCGCTCTTCAGGTTAGTCAACCAAAGATAACTTTGGCAGTAAGAAAACACGATAGAGGTGACTAAAGGGTCGAGTAGCTCATTGGCTCGGCTTGTTGAAGCTCAACCCATGAACGATTCGTACTCATTTCAGGACTAGTTCTTGCATGAGTCGAGCGGGAGTTCATACGACAAGCCGAGCAAGACTTGCTCATCAAGCTTGCGAGCAACTCGTAGGCACGACCCGTGAGCCCAAAGTTCACTAGCCCACGAGTAACTTCAAAAAAAAAAAAAATTCGAGCTCGTGGACTCGACTTGTGATCTTACAAACTCATGAACTGAGTCGACTCGAGAAAGATCCATTGCCATCAGTAAAACAATTGGTTTTCATGGACTCGACTTGTGATCTTACAAACTCGGAATTGGTTTTCTTGCTTTGGGTGCATGTGACCCATTTTCTTGGTTTTGGGTGAATTTGTTTTCCCACCTTTTAGGTGGTTTTTTTGNCTTTTTTTTTTTTTGCTTTTTTTTTTGGGGGCAATGGATACAAAATCTATCCACAATTGTAAAAAAAGATTATCCATTAAATTGACTATTTTCATGTAAAACAAAGCCAAACGAATATCGATTTTTTTTTCAAATTTTTTTATTTTGGCAATCTAAATAAATTTTATCCCTAATTGTAAGAAATTTTATTTCTTTAATTGACAATTTTCATGAAAAATAAAGCCAAACTGATCAGGTAAAAAATTATATCAATCAAACACAATTAATTACAATTCTCATTGAAACAAATTTTACGCAATTCAATTTCCAATAAAACATTTTCTTTACCCCATTTTCTACCTTTACAATACCCTGAGGAAAAAGAAAAAATAAAAGCCTATTTATTTTGTTATTCGTTATTCACATACATTACAAATTATATTTTTCAAATCTCACTTTTACGGAATTCGAACGGGTTCAAAGCTAATTGGAGAAGATGAAGATCACTGTAATGACAGCCGATGAAAAAATCCTCACCCTAGACGTCGATCGCAACGAATCTGTAACTTATTCATACCTTAGAACCCTAGTTGTTATGGGATTTTTTCCTGTTTTTCCTCATGATGACGATATCCGATTTAAATACTCATTGCAGGTCGAGAACTTGAAAGCTCTTCTGGAAGTGGAGGTTATATATACTCTTTGGTGCTTTTTAAATTTTTTGGATAAATATATTGGGGGATAATGTATATTTCGTGTTTATAATATTGAACGAGCAGACAAGAGTGCCACTGCAGCAGCAGCAACTGCTATATAATGGAAGGGAGATGAGGAATGCTGAGAAATTTGGCGCTCTTGGTGTTACTGATGGAGATTTGGTGATGATGGTCTCAAATGCTTCATCTTCTGGTGCTAGGTTCGCGTAGTCGTAATAATTTCCTGCCACGTATATAATATTGGTACTTCCGTTAGAAGTTATAGTATCATAAGTCCAAATAGGATGCTGGGCACCTTTCAACATGGCATAATTAACGAACATGTACTATGCACTTATTTTGTTTTGGTCAATGCTAAGGTGTCTTTTTGACGTAGGATGAGGCTCAAATCCGAGCTAAGAAGAAGATTGAGCTTCTTCGAGCCAATCTCAAGGAAGGACGAATTAAGATGAACTTGGGAGCAAGAGCCCTGAATCAGTTTTGTAAATTCTGTCTGCTTCATTACGTGTGGTCGCAAAATTTTTAAAAGAAATAGAAGACTCAAAACCAATAAAAAGTCTCTTTACCGAATAGCTGCTATCTAGCATCCTATGAAATTGTAAATATCAAATGGGTTATGTCAAACTAATTCAGCCCAAAAACAACCATCAGCCTAACAATAACCATCAGCCAACAACAACCCTTTTCTTCCTGCCTCACTTTTTCATTACTTCTCGTTTTGGTCTAGAAGAATATTCCAAAGCTTTCTGCAATGCCTTCTCTTTCTAAATAGTGTGACTTTTAACCTACTGTAGAGCATCCCCGAATGAGGCAGGGTTCAATCCAGATGGTTCTGCAATGAACCCCTCAGCTTTGCAGCAGCAGTTGCGTAACGATTCTAATGTGATGGCCCAGCTGTTCCAGGTAAAGTGCGACCGGACCTTTAAATGCCCTATTCTCTACGTAGAAGCATTTTTTGGCTCGTCTTTTGTTTAAATTGGTGAAAACTTGCTGCTATTAGCTACTTTTGGTGGAAAATGACACAATGAGCTAATATAGTTATGTTGTTTCTTTGTTTTTAATAAAATGGTTTTGTGTGCTGTTGTCATCTTGTTATTCTTTGTAAGAAGACTGTAAAAATTCTACACTTTATACTTTTCTTTTATCTGGAACAGCTTATTTTGTTTTAAGCTAGAATTTTGGCATACAGTTATAATAATTTTTTCTTGTGATGGACTTAACTGAAACTTTTTTAGCTTCTATTTAAATTGCTTTTCATTAACCTTTTTATGCCTGTGTCAAAATCAGCATGCTTCATATAAGCAGTTAACATCGTCATAGATTAAAAGTTTGTCCTAACAAATTTTCAATGTTGGTTATTGCTGTCATGTCTTAAGTCTTTCGACAACTGTTCAACTAGTCTATGCTTAAAGATGTTAATTTTTTATGATTATATTGCTAATTGCAATGCCATGTTTGTAAAGTTAAATCTTCCAGAGTCTGAAGATTTATTGAGGTTGTACACACTATTTGAACTTTCAGAGTGATCCCGAGTTGGCACAAGCTATCCTTGGAAATGATCTTGATAGGCTACAAGACATTTTACGCTCTCGTAATCGCGCGAGAGGTGAATTACGGCGTCAACAAGAAGAGGAAATGGTTAGTGTTGTATGCCGGTAACAATCCATTATAGATTTCTCGGTGGGGTTTGTAATATGCATTGGGTTAACTTTTAATTCATCAGAACTCTGTTGTCATTTGTGAAAAAAAATTTGGGAGATGCTTCTGGGGTTCATGTCATGGCATTTACATGATGTCATTTGCTGAACCTTGTATTTCATACTAGCTCCCAAGTGACAAATAAATATTCCTTTTTTTCCCACCTTTTTTTAAGCCTCAAGAAACTTGTGCTATTTTTTTTTTCCTGCTACTTGTTGCCAGAAGACCAAAATTCTGTATACAGGTTAATCTTTCAAAGGGTGGGATTTTTATTCAGTTCCTGTTTCCGATATTTCATACAATTGAGGCTTATGTTTCCCATCTCATGGGATAACTAGGGGTCTGGAAGAATACCCTTGTATTGGGTGGGAAGGGAGGGGACATTCCTTTGCATCTTAAGGCTCTTGATGGAGATTTTTTTTTCAAGGACTTCATTGCAGTACTTTCAGTGCTTTCCCCTTCATTGCAGTCCTTTGCATCTGTTTGCTTCTTGTTTGCTTATTGATATAGTTTATTTGAACGTTTTATTTAAGAAGCCTATATGTATGGGATTGTGTCTTTGCAATGCAGGCTTTACTTTATGCAGACCCGTTTGACGTGGAGGCACAGAAGAAAATTGAAGCTGCTATTCGCCAGGTTGGTTACCTCCATGTCATCTTTAGGTCATTTTTAGGAGTAGCTCTTATTATTTATTTGCATGCCAGCACATCTCTAGAATGATTGATGCCAACTAACAAAAGTTCACCTCCTAAATGATTTGCGGCTGTGACTGAGTGGGAGTTTGTTTGTGGTTACCAGGAGAGTTGATTTACATATTTATGGTTTTTGCCAACAGATTATGAATATTTATGATGATCCTTTTATATTTTTCAAGTGCTAGCACAGTATCTTAATGCATATATGATGCTTGAAAATTTCCTCTTCTGGACTAGTGATCTTTGTTCAAAATTAGGATGATGCAATTAGTACTATCCAACTTATTACTTCTGTTCACATATGACGTGTCATATCAATTTATTGGTGGATAAAAAATTTAATTCAAATCTTGATACTCATCATAAAATTATTCACCAATGAATTGATATGCCATGTCACCGGTGCTTAGCATCTCTCTCTCTCTATATTTTTTTGTCTGATTAAGCTCTTCTTTTTAATTACTTTCACTTTGAAATATTTACTGTGGTTTCATGAATTGCCATTTTGTTTGGCAGAAAGGAATCGATGAGAACTGGGCTGCTGCAGTAGAATACAACCCTGAAGCTTTTGCGAGGGTGGTATGTACAAACGCCAAGTTGACTGTTTATTTTTGCTATTCTCAATATAAATGTCAAGGTTTATGCTTTTTTTCCAGGTTATGTTGTATGTTGACATGGAAGTCAATGGTGTTCCTTTGAAGGTATTGGATTGGTAAACAATGTGACTTGCACTTCCTTACTGTTCTTTCGTCTACCATCATCCCTGCCACCCCAAGAAAGAAGATGGGAAAACCTCATAAATAGAAACCAATTGGTTAAAAACTCACACCAACTTTGGGGCATTTCCCGAAATTTGTTATTTGAGTCAATTACAAATTTACAAGTACCTCAAGCAGACTACAGCCTTAGTACCATGCATTACTAAAATGTTATCCATCATTCTATTTATCGAGGCTTTCAGAAACGAAGAGAACTTAATATGCCGAATCATAAATATGGAGATACTATGTCCATTACATGATATTCTATAGATTAATTTGAAAGATAAGAGAAAACGCTAAATTTAAATCGCACATAAGGTAGTTGGCCGCAATCAAGTCTCACTAACCAAGAATTTACCTTTAATATCCGAAGGATTCCAAATGGCCAGTCCGTCTTCTTCGTTGTCTAGTTTTGCTAACCAGTCAGAATTTAACTTGCTGGTGCTTTCTTGCTGCTCTAGCATCACTGTTATATTTTATTCAGGAAATTTGTGGGCGTGTGCATTATTGAGACCATTAAAAGAACCACAATCTGGCATCAACTAGGCATGTATGGGTGCCCGTTTAGTGTGGATTGAAATTGGGACTATTGTCTCTATAGCTGCGTGATGGTCTTGATGCTTTGTCATTTTGTTAAATAAGGGCAGAAATCTAGACATTATCGATGCTTTAGCTGGAATGCAACGTGTCCATATATACATCATTTTTGCACTAGTCAAATTATTAATTGAATTTCAAAGAGAGAAGTGATTGTGGTGATTTTGGAAGGAAGAAAGGATGAAGTTGAAGAGTCCACTTGGCCTTTGGAAATCCCCCAGCGATTCATCATTATGACAGATTACATCTATGAAGAAATTGTTACAGGCCCTTGATTGTGACGAACTACAACAAATTAGTCAAATTCCAATCAAGGACCAATTAACCTCCTTTAATTAGATGAAGGAGAAAAGGCAAAACAGAAGGGGAAGGGGAAGGGACAGAAAGAGAGTTTATAGCAGCAGGTATCGTCTGAACTCTTTAGAGGAATCTTCCAAAATTTTAAAATTTTGGAAGCGCCCTTGAATAAGACATTGATAGGCATGGATTTAGTCGTTCCCATTAGATAAACTGACAAATCTCAAATACTCAAAGCATGGACATGGGGGTCTTTTGTTTTATGGATAGTTAAGACACGTTTCTATTGCTGACACATAGTTACACTGACTTTAAGAAGTTCTTGTATATGTGATGCGTCTTGATTTACTTGAGAAGTTAATGGTTGGTTTTTGAGAGCTCGTGACTTTACAAAGTTCTTGCATTTACAGTAGGTCACTTTCAGTGGGCACTTAAACTAGGAAATATTGTAGATTATTGATTATATAGTCCCTCGTGTCACGTGTGGGCTCCTTATTATCCTATGTTCTCTTGCTCTAAGTGAGGTATATATTTCACCTGCTTTTGTTCAGGCCTTTGTTGATAGTGGAGCTCAGTCAACAATTATATCTAAAAGCTGTGCTGAGCGTTGTGGGTATGAGTTCCTGTTATTTCTCTCGCTCTCTCTTATGGAATTAATCTGTTCAAACCAGGGTATGTGCTACTTTTGAATGGATATTAATTATTAATTGTTCACCATTTCTTTCCTTCAGATTGTCGAGGCTTTTAGATACGCGGTATAGGGGTATTGCACAAGGAGTTGGTCAATCTGAGATAATTGGTCGGATACATGTTGCCCCCATCAAGGTATGCATGTAATGTATTGCTATCCTCATTTTGATGGACTAGGGATTATTCTCTTTCATGTTTTAAAACCATTTTCATTTTCTTCACCCCCCCTGCTCATGCCTTGTTACACGTGGCATCCCTGTTACTTTGATGTGTTTGTTTTCATAATATGGTAGATTGGGAATAATTTTTACCCGTGTACCTTTACTGTCCTGGATTCTCCCAACATGGAGTTTCTTTTTGGGCTGGATATGCTCCGCAAGCACCAGGTAGCCTTTTCATATTTAAATTTGCTCTTTTAATTAGTTTGAATTCAAATTTCATAATGATTTTCTTACATAACTACAATTGATAGTGCATAATTGATCTAAAGGAGAATGTCTTGAGAGTTGGTGGAGGAGAGGTTTCTGTGCCTTTTCTGGCAGGTTGATCTTGTTATCTCTTGTTTATCTTTTTTTACGATACTGACTTTTACACTAATGATAAAGTTTCCCGACGTGCATCAATTGTTTAAATTTGAGTTTTAAGTAATCTTAATTCAATCTTTTTTGGAAATTCCAGAAAAGGACATTCCTTCTAATTTATTTAATGAAGAGAGGTTGACAAAGGATGCATCTAGCTCAGGAGCACAAGTAAGGATGTCGTTGCTCATCACGTTTCTTTCCACTGTCCATGCTCTCTTGGAATTCATTATTCTGTTGTTTTCGTCTTTCTAGTGCCTTGCATAATGTGCATATAATTATCTAGAGATGTTTACTTTTATAATTTCTGGCTCGTGCTTTGTTTTAATTTTGTATTGAAACAATGTCCGTTTAAAAGGGGAATGGGATTGCATAAATATCACACACGAAAATTTATTAAGATGAAGATCTTTGCTAGAGAGAACCAACTTGCAAATTTCTCTGCACAAGAGAGCATGATAAACTCTTATTCCGTTGTAGGAGAAAATGCATTATGAAAGCTTACCTAAAAACTGCATCATGTTGGAAATAGCCTTGTTCTATATAACATCGATACTATCGGGGGCTTTTTACTCATCCTCTCTGTTAAAATAACCTCTTAAACCTGGATCATTAATTAAATCCCCACGAATATCCATTCACTGAACCAATTTGTTAGTGGTTCACAGGTACTGGTTTGAAGGATTAGGTGAACCAGGTCAGGCATATCAGATGATGTTACATCATCATTCTAGTCTTATTTCGATATAAATTGAAAGTGGATACATATGAAAAATCCTCAGCATCAATATTCAATATCACCGAAAAAACATATCATACTATCCAATCAAATCAGACTATCTAATTCAATGAAGAAAGAACTAAGTAGTGGAACAGGGTTGTGGGGAAAAATCCCCCATCACCCTTGTAGGAGCCATTTTCACTCTTTTCTTCCCTCCATGCCACTACAAATAAAAATAAAATGTAAGCTGGAATGTGAAAGAAGGTTGGAGCCAGATTAGTTTTCACTGGGTTTATGAGGTTCTTGACTCTAGTAGTTACGACCTGTAATCTTAACCAGATAAGAATTTGGTTACTGGACAAACTTGTCAAACTGCTCCATCCTCAAGCGGGCTTAAAACAATTAAATTTACAGTATTTTCTCTCTACACACAAACAAGTGAGAGACATTATTCTCCTACAATAATTTGTAATGTTATACCTCTAGATTCTTTGTTAAAGGATGTTTGAGAATTTTTTTTTTTATTTTAGCTATTTTTGTGTACAAAGGGAGCACGTTTACATTTGCAGATGTAAACTGCCATCAGATAATCTCACCTCTATTTTCTGATTTTCAGGCAACATCTGTATCTAAGGAGAACATCAATAGCCCAACAGTAAGACCTTCTGGTTAGTTCAATATTTCAGAAATCTCTGGTTTATTATATTTATCATTTGTTTGTTTCAACATATTTTTTCAAAGCCTATATTTCTGTTTGATTTGACTTAAAATAATGGAGCCAACCCATCTAGTTCCACAAGTATTACTACATTATTGTCATTCTTAGCTGTTCCGTTTATTTACTCTTCATCTCTGATTTTTTTAGCTCTGCTATAAATTGAATCTAACTAATTATTCCCCTTCTAACTTCAGCCACCGGAAGCACTGGCAGGAATGCTGCACAGGTAGATTTTAGTTAGAAATTGTTTTCACTTTATGCTAGTTCTACCACGGTAAATTTGGTAATTTGTTGCTAGTTTGTTCAATATTTATCAAAATCATCTGTTATTTGATTAATTTTGCCTCGTTTATTCTCACCTTGAACCATATTAAGACTTATAGTTTAGTTATTTGGAATTAGAATTTCGGACCAAGCGCATTTTTTTTGTTTGCAGGGACCTGATTTCGAAGCAAAAGTTGCAAAGCTTGTTGAGCTAGGATTTGGAAGAGAGCAAGTGATTCAAGCTTTGAAGTTTTTTGATGGCAACGAAGAACAAGCTGCTGGATTTCTTTTTGGGGGCTGAAGATGATTTTACGGTCGTTATTGATTTTGTAACTCGTGTGCATCATAAATAACTGCAGAAAAAATTCTTGCAGTTCAACTTAAAAAGGAATCTGGATTTAACATTGAATAGGACTAAAGAACTGTATCATTCCTTTACACAAAAAAATGGAATGAATTTTGAAGATTCTGAACTTTTTGCGTTTAGGTCCCTTTTTTCCCCTCTAACATTCTAACCTGAGAGTCCCAGGTTGAAAATAAATCTTCGACTTAAAATTTTTTTTAACTACTTTTTAAGATTCAAATAGGCACCATTAACCTTATTCAAAACCTTAATTGAGCTGAGCCATCGGTTATGTCATTTCCCTTCTCATGACTTCATGCTGAGGATTTTCTTGATGACATTAACCGTAAAATGCTTCCACCACCACCACTAACACCGTCTCCCCTAAAATAAACCAAGCCATCTCTTTTCCGTGAGATTGTCATATCAAAGCAAGCCACTAGAACTTCCACATTGCTCCAAGCAAAACTAGGACGGCAAACAATACTCCGACAACCTTGGAGTACAAATTTAGTAGTCGGGTGTTGCGAGAATCAGAATTTTAGCCCCTGTTTGAGCCACATTATATTTTTCATTCTCATTCTTCTACTCATTTTCAACCACACATTGTTCAATAAAATAATATTTTTCATCATATCAATAACCTTTTCTTCATTTTCAACCACATGTTCTCCATCACATCAACCAAAAAAATGCATTCTCTCCACGAAAATGCCTACCAAATAGAGGCTAAATAGACTTTGATGAAATTTGATAAAAATTTTGGATCTTATGTGTAATTTTTGACTTAGTTATTTTTCAATTTTTCCAGCTAAATCAAATAGGTGGCTTGGCCACTTTTTCATCTTCTTCGGAATAGTTACTTTGATCATCTTCCTTGCTATTGGTCCCTATTTTTTCAAAAACTAATTTTTTTCAAAATTCATTTTCAACCACACATTCTTCCATAAAATAATTTTACATGTAAATTGAATTTTTTTTTTATTTTTTAATCACATTCTTAAAAAAAAAAGAATCAGTTTTCCAAAAATATATTTTCTTACAAAAATGGGGGCTCCAACATAGGCTAAGTCTAGAGATCAAGTGTTCGACATCCCCATATCAAAGTATTTTAGGTTCTTCAATAACAGAATAATATAATTTCAAGAAGTTTTCAATGACCCATGTCTTGAGTATGTATGGCAAAATATACGATCATTCGACACATCAAATTTCGACAGGGAGACTAATATAGTGACCAATGTGAAATAAAACTTAAAAGTTCAGTGACTAATTGAAATAAACTGAAGTTTCGTGATCAACATGAAACAAAAAAGTTGAATGACCAAATTGAAACTTTCCTATAAGTTTAGCGACCAACTGAGTTAGGGATGAACCAGAGTATTCAGGTTGATTTGAGTTATGGGAATCATTTCAGCAACTAAGTAAAATCCAAACAAGATTGCTGGAATGTATTGTGATGAAATTGTTTGATTTTCAATCTATTGTAGAGCATCCCCAAATGAGTCAGGGTTCAATCCAGATGGTTCTGCAGCGAACTCCTCAGCTTTTCAACACCAGCTTCGAAACTATTCTAACGTGAGATGACCGAGCTGTTCCAGGTAGAGAGATTGAGCCATTCATCAGTACTTTTCGTCATGGTGGAAGCATTTTTGGTTTCTTTTTACTTTTAAGTAAGAATCTTTGATAATATAGACATAGTCATAGAAAAATGTGTTCTTTTTATGAGCTTAATTGAAATTCTTTTGTTACATTCTTATTTCAATTGCTTTTGATCTTCTTTTGATGCTCCAGATATAGTTAGTCCAAACAAATTTTGAATATTAGTTATCGCTGTCATTTCTTAAGTCTTCATACCGGTTTTCAACTATTCTCCGCTTGACGATGTTGGTTTCTGTTTTATTATCTCTCATATTGCTAATTGCATTCTCATGTTTATAAGCAATCTGGATTTTTTGATATAGACGTATCAGCTCTTTGTACGCCGGATAATTATTAAGGAAACGTTAGCACATGTTGCGGAAAAACCATCCCCAGAAAATAATTTGAATTTCTGTGATCTTAACTGTTGGTTTCGTGTTTTCATATAATGATGTACTTTATTTGACCGTTTTATCTAAGAAGCCAATTCTCTTGTATTTGTGTATTTGGTACGGAAGACTTGACTTTATGCAGACCCATTTGAAGTGGAGGCACAAAGGAAAAATTAGGCTACCATTCGCTAGTTTGGTTTCCTCCAGGACATCTTTTAGGTCTTTTTTCCAGGAGTGGACTGTGGACCCGAGAGTTTCTTTCTTATTGTAGATTTCCATGCCAGCATTTCTCTAGAGTGATTGACTCCCATTAATCTCAAGTTCATCTCCTAAATGAATTATGGTTGTGACTAAGTAGGAGCTTGTTTGTGGTTACCGTGAGATTTGATTTGCATATTTGTGTTTTTTGCCAACATTTCAAAGATGTAACTTGAGGATTGCTGCATATACACATCATTATATTTCTTGAATTAAAATTTCGGATATTTATTTTCTTTATATTTCTTACTCTTTGCCTTGTATGGTACTTGATTGAAAGAGATGGTGAATATGAATATATGTGATGATCTCGTTATGTTTTATAAGCGCAACCATAGTATCTTGGTGCATACTATTGATACATGAAAATCTCATTTTCTGGACTCATGATCTGTGTTCAAAGGATGATGTCATCCGTATAGTCCAATATATTGCTTCTGTTTTTTTTTTCTGATTAAAACTATCGTCTTTTCCATTCTTTTCGCTTGAAATAATTATTGGGGTTTTATGAATTGAGATTTTGTTCTGCAGAAAGCAATCGATGAAATATGGGCTGCTGCCATAGATTACAAACCTGAAGCTTTTGCAAGGGGGGTAGGTAATAAATGCCAACCATCGGTTCGCTGTACATCTTTGTTGTTTGTTAACATAACCATCGAAGTTTTATGCTTTTTTCAGGTAATGATATATATTGACATGGAAGTTAATGGTGTTCCATTGAAGGTACTCTTATTGGTAAAAAATGTGACCTGCACTTCCTTATTCTTTCATCTAGTATCTGCCTTCATGCCACCCCAAAAATAAAAGAAAACAGGAAAAAATCCCCACAAATAGAAAACCAAGAAGCAAATCATTTTTTGAAATTGTTTTTTCAAGTAAATTGCACGCACCTATTCGAGCAGAGTATGCCCTTCGTCACCAGTCATTCCTGAAATTTAGCAGTAGTTCTATTTATTAAGACTCTTTTTTTCCCCTTCTGCTCTAGCATCACCACTAATATTTATGTTCAGGAAATGAGTGTGTATGTATCATAGAGACAACAATTGGAGGTAGAACGACCTGGCATCTAGGCATATGATAGATGCCTCTTTGGTGTGGATATATGCAAAGCTTCATGATGGCTGAGAGATTTACATCATTCGAGTGGATGATGCAGAAATCTTGACATAATTTGATGATTTTGCTGGAATATGTGTCCGGAGGTACATGAGTTTTACATTAGTCAAATTATTATTTGAATTTCGAATAGAAATGCTATTGTAGTAAAGAAGTGATACCGAAGAATTGATGACAACCTTTCTGATTATGACAAATTATAACAAGTAATCAAAGTCCAATTTAGTACCAACTGACATTTGTTAATTAGGAGAAGGAAATAAAAATGCAATAGAGAAGGGGAAGGGACAGAAAAAGCATTATAACAGCTGATATCATTAGGTTTTTTTAAAGGAATCTTTAATAATTTTGTAATTTTCAAAATGACCTTAAATAAGACATGGATAAGCATATTGGGTCGATTTAATCTTCCCCTTCGGAGAGGACAAAACTGAAATGCTCCTCAAAGCGTTGAGATGTGGCTCCTTTTGTTGTATGGAAAGTTATTTCGATTTGATGGCACACAGTTACTTGGTCTTATGTTTGTGTTGCATCTTGACTTTCTTGTAGCACTCAATGGTGGTGGTTGTGAGCACATAACTTTACGAAGTTCTTGCATTTACAGTCAAGTCAATTTGAGAGGACATTTAAACTAAGAAAAATTGCTCATTTTTTATTATATGACCCCTTGTGTTGTCTCTGCTGATTTCAATCCTTATTATCCTATATCTCTTGCTTTAAGTGAGCTATATATCTCGCTCGTTTATGTTCAGGCCATTGTTAGCAGTGCAGCTCAGTCAACAATTATATCTAAAACCTGTTTTGAGCGTTGTGGGTATGGTATCCTGCTTTTTTAATTTTTCTGATCCCTATTTTGGTATTAATCAGTTCTTCAGTAAACCATTATATTGGTAGTTATGAATGGATATTTATTGTTAATCGTTCAACAATTTTCTCCTTTCAGATTGTTGAAGCTTATAGATACATGGTATAGGGGAATTGCTCGAGGAGTCGGTCAATCTGAGATAAATGATAATTGGTCGGATACATGTTGCTCCCATCAAGGTATGCGCGTAGTATGTCTCTCCTCATTTTGGTTCACTTGGGATAATTCTCTCCCTCGATTTAAAAACATTTTCATTTAATTCCCCTATGCCATGCTTGTTCCTTGTTACGAAATGGCATTCCTGTTAACTTGGTCATGTTTGTTTTCATAATATGGTAGATTGGGAAAATATTTTACCTGTGTTCCTTCACAGACCTGGATTCTCCCTACATGGAGTTTCTTTTTGGGTTTAATATGCTATACGAGTTCCGGTAGCTTTTTTATAATTAAATGTGCTCTATTAATTGGTTTCAGGACAAATTTGTTATTGATTTTGCCATTTACAGTGTATCATTGATCTGAAGGAAAATGTCTCGAGAGTTGGTCTAGGAGAGGTTTCTGTGCCTTTTCTGGCAGGTTGATCTTATTGTTTCTTATTTATCTTTAGTGTATGAGACTGATTCCTACCAGTTGTGATATTTCCCAACGTGCATCAATGTTTATGTAAATTAAATTTGCCTTTTAAGTGATCTGAATCCAATCTTCTACAAAATTCCAGAGGACATTCCATCTAGTTTATTTGATGAAAAGAGGCACACCAAGGAAGTGTCTAGCTTGGGAGTACAAGCAAGGATGTTGCTCTTTCCACTGTCCATGCCACTATGCATCTCTTTATTCAATTATTCCGTTTTTTTCTTCCTTTTAAATGCATAGAGAATGCGTGTATAATTTGTTTCTTGTGGTTTTTGCTTTAATTAGAATTGTAACAATGCCCCAGATGTGAATGGGAACTAGCTTGCATAAATATGAAAATATATCGTGTTGGAGATCTTCATTAGAGATTATCTAAATTGCAAATAGATAGATCATAAGCCATTTCCTCTAGCTGGAGAAAATTGCATTATCAACACTTACCTGAACTGCACATGTTTGGAAAGTTTTTATAAACCATTTATTATCTACACATTTTGTGGGTCCCACAATAATGCCATTTATCTTCCACCCCTTTCTATCAATTTATAAACAAAACCATCCAAGTTGGAAATAGCCTTGTTTTTATCTGACATTGATAGAGTGCGTGGCTAATATTTATAAAACTGGACCATTTATTTAATCTCCATCAATATCCGTTTACTGAACCAATTCGTTAGCGGTTCACTATAAGCTGGGTTTGAACAGGTTAACCGGTTAGGTGTACCAGATGATGTCACCTTGACATCATTATTCAGTTTTATTTTTCGATATAATCTGAAAATGGATACATAGAGAAGATCATAGCTTCAATATCTCCAGAAAAACACAGCATCCCATCTAATTCAACAGAACAAGAGTAGTGGATCTTCGGAGAGAATGAGGAACACTAGAAAATCGACCCCTTGTTGGTTGCTATCCATTATCTGCACAGATAAGGTTCTTGATTTCTGATATATACTTTTGCCTCGCTTTCACCTTGGACTACTTTGCGAAATGCACTACTTTTGTTTAACTTGAATTGCGTTTTCGGCGAACTTAATCAAGGTTACTTTTTTGTGCCACTTTCTTAGTGGGGAGGCATCAACTTCAAATTACAGTAAGTCGTAATAAGGCTGCAGTACTATGATTAATGAGTTGATAAAAGTGGCCCGACTGTTGATTTGATCGACCATTATGTGAAATGTCATCATATTATGGGTTAGATCTTCGTCGATTAGAAGTTCAAGAAAGTCGAAATAGTACGAATCCATATTGTTGTTGGTCCTCAAGTTGGATTAAACAGAACTTCACGTAATAATATACCAACATTTCACTGAATCTTCATGAAGTCCGACTCAACAGCAAAAGCAGAATATTTTTTAAATTCGAAAATGTATGTTCCACTCTAAATCTTTTCTAGCTACTTCTAAAGATTCAAATGGGCTCCATTAGCCTTTGATCAAAACCTTCCTTGAGCCTTCAATAATGTTCATTTCCCCTCTCATAACTTCGTACCGAGAATTTTCTGGCCTTCAATAATGTTCATTTCCCCTCTCATAACTTCATACCGAGAATTTTCTTGATAACATTCTCCCTAGGATGCTCTCTTTCACCACCACCACCACCGTCAATGCCGCCTCCCCAAAAACAAAGCAAGCCATCTACTTCCTATCACATTATCATATCAAAGCAATCCTGGAGCAAACAGAAACTGCCACCAGAAGTGTCATATAGCACCAAGCAAAAACCAGGACAGCAGCATATACTCCTACAACCTCGAAAAACAAATTTAGCTGTTTGGTTTGGTGCAATCCTATGTTTAGTATTCAACCTTTTTCTTATCTTTATTGGAATAGCTACTTTGATAATCTTCCTCTCTATTAAACCAAGAAAACCTATGTTCGACATCCCCACAGCCAGTCTCAATGTCGTCTACTTTGACACTTTCAAGTTTCTAAATTCAGTTATAGCATTTCTTGCAAACTTTTCCAACCAAACAGGAAACTTGATGTTAGATTTGAGTGTCTGAATCAGGATCTCTACTTTCTAGACAGTCTTATAGCAACACCAGCTGTTCAACCCTACACTCAAAGAAGCAGAGAAACACAGTTAAATATGAGTTCACATGATATCAAGTTTGGTTTATATGCCACCAAATCTTGCTCTGGAGCTCCAGAAACTGGTGCAGATAAAACGCATTGTATACAATATTAGAGGTACTTTTAGAGTAAAAATTAAGCTTGGTCTAATCCATTATTCTTCCTGGTTGCACGGGCGATGCCAATTAGAGATGACAAGCCCGCCAACTGGTATTCTAGTCTCCCACAGTTGCAGAACCAAGAGATGTATAGCTAGAAAATATGCACATTTGGTTTCATTTTTTTGCGTATGTTCTTGAATTTGATGTATATGAAGTATTCGTTTCTGTTACAATTTATAAATAACTCAAAGTACTATGTCAGGTTCTCTAAGAACAGCTATCACTTATCAGTAATTTCAATTAATCGCAATAACAAATAAAATTCTCCGAAATTCATTAGATTCTGATATAAATACAAGGTATTGTCCAGAATGCTAACAAAGAACAGGATGAGCAGTCCTGTCTAACTCAAAATTCTAAACAAGTCTACGCAAGAAAAACTCACCCTAGCTCTGCGAGATAGATTTGGAATCTACTTTGGCACATTGTATCAGAAATATTGATTCCATAGACTTTTTAGGAAATTCAAAATTAGCATCCACAAGCAGATATATAAGAAAATCTTTGAAGTGGCCTTAAGAATTTTGGAAGGCAAAAAACAGAGGTAGAAGTCACAAAGTTGAGATTTACATTATAGTTACAAGTACAATGGTATCACTAAAAGTCTAAAATTGCAAAAGGTTTCTTCTGCATTAACTAGCAAAGCAGCCAGCCTTAGTCAGTACTGAGTCAGAATCTAACACTAGGAAGATTCTTATGATTTCTTGGAGATTGAGAGGCATTTCTTCTATGGGTTGGAGTCAGAAAATGCTTGAAATTTGATGAATTGCATTATATCAAAACAGAAAATTATATAATGTACTGAAAACAAACGTGTTAAGTATGCAAAATACTAGAAATTTAGTTACATCCAGAAATCTTCTCCCCTTGCAGAGAAACCCTAAATTAGTACTTATAGCCCTTAACATACAAACTCTCAGAAGCCAATTCTCCAGCACTTCCCCCAGTGTACTTTCCAAGTGTGGCTTCTGAATTAGCCTTGCACCTTCCCAAGAACACCTCTTGAGCTTTGCAAACATTTTCCTTCTTTCCAGCCCATGTTTTGAGTGTGCTTTGCTGCAAAGCTCGACCGAATGAGAATGAGAGTGTCCATGGCTTCAGAACTTCCAGTTTGTTCATGGCGTTTAAGTTTACGGTTGCCTCTTCCTCGCTTTGTCCACCGGAGAGGAACACAATCCCGGGCACTGCCGGTGGTACTGTCCGGCGTATGGCTGCAACTGTGTATTCAGCAATCACTTCTGGTGTCACCTGTATAGATGTATGGATGAGACAAGGCATTAATTTGCATGGATTCTAAAGACTTGTGACTCGTTAATTAATCAACAAGAACGTTAAGGATTTGATAGCCCTTATACCTTAGGGCTATCAGAGCCAGGTGTGACCATGTTAGGCTTCAAAAGAGTTCCTTCCAAAAGAACATGTTGATCGTTCAGTGCCTTATAAACTGCTGCAAGCACAGTTTCAGTAACCGCAGCACATTTATTGATATCATGGCTTCCATCAGTTAGAACCTCCGGCTCAACAATCGGTACAAGTCCATTCTCTTGACATATAATCGCATAGCGAGCCAACCCCTGTGCATTCTGCTGGATGGACAGCTCTGATGGCTCAGTAGGGCCAATTTTGAGAACAGCACGCCACTTGGCAAAACGCGCACCGGCCTTGTAATACTGCTGGCAACGGGCTCCTAGCGAGTCTAACCCCTGGGTGGTGGTCTCGCCATTAGTCCCAGCTAACTCGACAGTGCCCTTATCGACTTTGATTCCGGGAATGACGTCGTTTTCTTGAAGAACCTCGACGAATGGCTTGCCATCGGAGGTTTTCTGGTAAAGGGTTTCCTCAAAGAGAATGACACCTGAGAGGTACGAGAGGGCATTGGGAGAGGTGAAGAGGAGTTCGCGAAGAGCTTGGCGGTTGGACTCGATGTTCTCCACACTGATGCTGGCTAGGCGTTTGCCGATTGTGCCGGTACTCTCGTCGGCAGCCAGAATACCCTTGCCGGGGGTGGCAATGTACTTGGCATTCTTAATCAGTTCATCTGGATATTTACTTTGAATTTCAGTTAAAAGTAAGAACTTAATTTACTTCAATGTCACTTTTTCTTTTTCTTAAATCACCATTTGTGATGTATTTTATTAATAACGAAACAATACAAACTTAGAAAGGGACTCGACCTGACTTCCAAATAAATATGCAATAAAAATAAATTTATCCAATCGGAGATGATGAGTACACCGTAAAATTTAAAGAAACAACACTTCATTACTTATTTTGAAAAAAATGTAAATTCATAACTTACATCCTAAAATAGTAAGTTTCAAGTACAAATTCAAGTAAACACGAGTAAGAAGTATCCTATATTAATTATACTTCTAGACAAAGTGGTTCGACCCACTGAATAAAAAGTTTATATTTAATTTTTTGCATGGCACATGCATACGTTCACATTGAGATGATATTTGCATGGAGAAACGTACGTACCAGCATACTTTCCTACGAAGGCAGACATGCTTTAGTTCCGAGGATAGTTTAGTGCTGAGAGAATGGAGACGAATATGCAAAACAAGAACCAATTATCTATATAGAAGATTAATGGGATATTCCAATATTCTTCATGTGACACGTGTCAGAAGATTAGCCTGACAAAAGTTATCTTTCTTGGATAGAGGAATGAGTGAGAACGATCCATTACACAGCCATTATCCTCTAAATTCTAATCCAAACTAATTGGTTCATGAAATATCGTTAGCTAAAAACCCAATTTAGTAGATTTTTATAAAAGTTGAAAAAATATGAATTTGAAAAGTTAAATGAAAATCGTGAATCTCATGAAATTTGTGATGAGAAATGAAACCGGAGAAAAATAAATTTTAGAAAATGAAGCCAAAAGAGGGTGTTCTTATAGCAAAATTTTCACAAATTCTAATGGAGCCACAAATTCTTTCCAGAAGGAGGCTAAAACAGTTGACAGTTGGGCAAATTTCGCTGCAGGTTCTCGTCAATTTTTTGCAAGTGTGAAACCCAGTTCCTAATTTACCATTTGTTGCAGTCACATCCTCAATTTCCCTCAACAACATTACACGTTCCTTTCAATGTTACATACTGTACCAGGTTTGGTTCAACTAAAACAATTGATTAAAATTTAAGTCAAAGTCAATAATGAAGTTTAACCATACATTCCATCAACTTTTATTTCAAAATTTACTAAAAAATTGATTTTTATCTAAATCAAACGGGGCATAATATCACACAAATTGAATAGCTTGGTCAAGAAATCACAATAATGAGAAACAATAAGCTGGATTATGAAAGCATAGTATGCCCTTATCCATCATATGCATAGTTCTCAAGTCTCCAACAAACAAGAATGATATTCTCCACATGCTTAATGGGTAATGCAAGCACTAGTATAGTAAAAATTGTACCAAAACCGAGTATGTTCAGTTCTTTTTCTGTAAATAATTATTGGGAAGTGAAGTTCATCTCCAGTATAACTGCTGGTGGGGGCGGTTTTGGTGGTTCAATCATCGTCTGTGCCAAAGTATCGGTCACCAAATTCACCCATACCAGGGATAACGCGGTAGTCTTCATTCAAACCAATTTCAATCTCAGATGTCACTATCTTTATTCTAGGAAAACGTTTACAGACGACATGTACTCCTTGAGGTGCCTGAATTTAATAAAAATGGACGATAAAATTTGATTATTTATACAAAATCTACGCAGAGAAAAGACTGCATTAAAGCTATTAAGCTTACGGAGATGAGATTGAGGAATATGATGTTGGCCTCGGGTACGCCCTTCTTTATAAGTAAAGAAATAGCTTGAACAGCCGAATTTCCTGAAGATCGATTACTATGAGGGCACGAGTGCAAAAATTTTTTTATATCTAAATGGATCTCATTACAGGAGGTGGTAGTAACTCACGATAATTGAAGAACACGAAAGGCGAAAGAAAATAGGAAACGTAATACATCACAAACCTGATTAAGTAGACTTGTATGTTTTTTTATGGATGAATATATAATAGGCTAACCTGTACCCAGTATTGGATCCAATAGCAAGACATGTCTATCTAAGATGTCATTTGGCAGCTTTTCGTAAATCAGCTGTAAGAAATTCGAAGCAGTAGAGAAGAATGGAAATAAATGAGAGGTACGAAAACCAACACCTGATACACTAAAGAGGATATGAAGTGCTCGCTAACCTGCTGACCATTGTCACCTTCTCTGTGAATGAGTATTTTACCTATCTTGATACCTTTGCAACATGCTCTCAAAGCATTCTCCATACTCTCACCACTGTGAAAGATTGAATAGTGTTTCACGTGTAGAGCATGTCAAGAAAGAAATCCAAATTCCTCCCCCACTCCACACACACACAACAAAAACCCAAAAGTAAAAAGAAAAAATTGGGAGTGGGGGGGGNGGGGGGGGGGGGGGGGGGGGGGGGTGGGAGAGGGATGAAGGTGAGACCCATTATCTTTGTACCTTCTAATTACAGAGACACCACATAACCTCTTACAAAAATCCACACCAGTGTACACAGATCCTGCATTCGAACAGAGAAATTTTAGATGAAATGTGATTTTTGAAAGAGTACTGAAATGAGATAGAACTTGGATAAGAAACCGTAATTTCAAGCCAAACAACTAATGGAGTAACACTATCTTAACATTGAGATTTCAAGAAAGAGATGCATTTTTATTTATTTTTAAATCTGGAATTAAAACTGGATGGTGGTATTAATTCTAAACATTTCTTACAAGTCATTAAAGTCCATTTCAAAAACCATCACTTGTCTCTTACCAAATATATGAATGTAAATATATGAATAGCGTCTAAAAAGTAAAAATCTCATATAGATTGTCCAATGCTGATAATTAGAGAAGCACCAATATAAGCATGCTTTTTGTAAGCTATAACTTTAAACAACATGAAAAATAAATGGCTTGTGTTGCATGTGAACAAGTCGATATTTGTAGGCACAATTTGCACACATGTAGTTACATGGGCATTTATCAGGATGTCAATTGATAAGAACCGTGAAGTTAGCAACATGTGTAAAATTTAAAAATAAAATCAAAATAAATCAGGAGGACAAATCCAGATGAGAAGGACAAAGGTCAAGTGAACTAAGAGTGAAAAGATGAGAGGAAGAGGAAAAGAAAACCTAGACTTGAATTCTGCTGGAGTTAATCTAATTGAGTTCTAATGAGGTGTTTCAGATGAGTTTTCCTTAAAATCTTTTTTTACCACTCCATTGACAAATATTTACGTTCTCTTTTTCACTTTGGACCATTTAACTAGTGCCTCCCGTTAAGAAATATGTGCCCCACAGATGAGAATTATGAATGAAATTTTAATTTTTTGTCCAAAAATTGTATTCTCACATCAGAGTCACCTTTGAATCAAGCAGCAGCATGCCAAATTAACCGGAAATCCACAACCTCCAAATAGCACAGGAATTAATGAAACACATTAATGCAAGCAACAGCAGAAACTTGAGGTAACACCACAGAATACAAGATGATAGTGGCTTACCAGTTGGAGTGATCACCTGCTTTTCTGTAAATGGCAAATGTCCGAGACCATGTTCAACAACCTAAATACAGGGTTTTTATTCAATTCAAACAGAGATGGTAATCATTATACTTAATTAATTGGTAGCCATGACTGTCAAATAAACACATCTCACAGCCACAAAACCTACCAAGCGGATTAACCGATCAGAATAAAAGACAAAGTCATGTTTTGTTGTTTGAGCGTCACGTATAAGTGTATGCATACCACGTATCTGGATGATACAAACAACAATAACAGGGATCAATATAAAAGGGAAACCTAATCAAAGCACCAACTGATGATCTTAATGACATACCCATGGAAAAACATGGGATAACTGTAGACAGTTCACATATAAAGGTAGCAGGACAAAAACAGTACCTGAAAAGTTGATTGAATGACATATAGATTAGGATACACTTTACAAAGATCATGTTGACCAAGTTTAGTCCGAATATGTTGAACGATCAAATCTATAGCCACATGATTGTCTCCTCCCCGAGGAATGATAATATCAGCATACTTTTTTGTTGGAAGTATAAAATCATCAAAAGCAGGCTTCACAAACTTTGAGTACTGCATGCAAATGAAGCCCAATGGTAACCAACATTATGTTACAGAAGCAAATGGAACCGCTTTGCAGAATCTTAACGCATTTATGAGTAATATGGATGAAAGATGGAAGACCCCCCGAAGATTAAAAAAAATAAATTGGAGAACAGCACTCTGCAGATGATGCAGGTAATATGGAAGCAGTGATTTCCAAGTTACAGGCACTTGTACGTTGCATCTTCCAAGTAGTAAATATATTATTTCAGTATATCTTGCTAACCTGATCAAGTACCATGCCAATATCTCTATCCTTTTCAACTGTGTCACGTCTAATTCTCCTCGCCAGACGTACATCAGCATCTGCACTGAAAAGTTTATATCTTGAAGACTTAATAAAGAGAAGACTAAGTTCAGTAAGACCATGAAACCAATTTTGATTTCTGTCCAAAAACCAACAAGAAATAACATAAAATAAAGAGAGAGGGAGAGAGAGAACCAATCATTTTGAAGGATTGTGTTGCTTTCCAGTGATATATTATTCCAAGTACTATTAATACAAAGATTTATTTCTAGAGTTTCACTTAGTGCCTGTTTGATAAAACTTTGCTAAAATTTTCTCGAATTATCAACTGGTCAAACTTCAATTTTAACCACACATTTCATGGAATCTACAACTTTTATCAACTTTTCAATAATCTCATCAGCTTTTATCAAAATTTGTTAAAACTTTCAAAAACTTTTTCAAACAACCCCTTCATATTTTACACTATATACTCGGTCCGAGCCGAAATTTTTAGCAAGTTTCTTAGGCCATCTTAAAATGAAATTTTGTTTTTACAGGCATAGAGAAATAATTAAAGAGATCATTCCACAAAGGCAAGGTTGAATCTAAATTGAATTCACAAACGAAAAGATTTCCTCACTATCATCATCATTATGGTTATCGATATTATCAATTATCAAATACAGGAGAGAAAACATGTTGAATATAGAAGATAAAGAAAAATATAATCCTGGAAAGGAAAGGAAAGGAAAAGAAGAACCTGTATCCACAAATATCTTCATATTCATCAAATCTCGGACACGCGGATCATGAAAAATGAGTATACCTTCCAAAATTATAACATCTGAGGGATTTACCTGCCAAATTTAATTTTTTTGAGAAGTAGACCATCAGAAAACAGAAATGCAAAACGTATGATATTGATTCAGATAGAAGGCAATTGTATTTTTTTGCTAAATATAGGAGCATTAGTTGCCGATATAGGTGTCTATTAGCTATTGGCATGCTATTTTCATTAAAAAAATGAAAGAAGACCGGAGTTTACAAAATACATGTCTTAATTGTATTGGTACATAGCTTAGCTAATATTTTTCTCCTTTTTCTAATCTA